TTGCTACAAAGTCTTCTGGCTTGGCGTTTTGAAACACCTCATTTCATTCAGGCATCTAAAGGGTTTGTGGAAGTGGTAGACAGAGAAGATGGTTTGTAAAGAGGATATAAAAAGAATGTAAATTCTATGAAAAGCCCAAACTTATGTGCTGTATTCTGACTTGCTCATCAATGAGGAACAGAGTTTTTGATCTCTGCATGCCAAAGGGGAGAGAGCTCGAAGTTTCTATTCGTGTTTCTTCCTGTAGTTAAACCACCTGTTAAAGGTCCTAGCCAAATTCCAGGGTGACTGCCCAAATCCTATTTGTTAAACATTTTAATTGTGATCACGAGGGAAAGACGAGATTTAGAGCTCTTATTTTTTATTTATTTATTTTTTTGAGAGGTTTTTGCTATAGGGTGCGCGCGCTCGCCAGACAGACAGAGAGAGACAGAGAGATAGAAAGCGAGAAATTATCCCCCAGGGGGAATGGCCACGCCGCAATCCTTTCTCCTCCATTCTCCTCTCGGGATCTTGGGCACACATGCACACACGCCCGGCGTGAGTTTTAAGCCACTGGGACATAGCCATTATCCTAACTGCTGGTCCCTAGAGCTCTTTTTTTTTTTTTTAAAGAATTATTTTATTTAACTTTATTTATTACTATTATCATTAGTATTTTCCAGTTTGATCAGAGAGACACAGGGAGAGAGAGAGAGGAAGTGAGAAAGCAAGCCACCAGGTCTGAGACTTGAACCGTGGTCGGCCATGTGGGAGTCCAGCGCCTTTTACCACCATGCCACTTGCCGGCCCCCCAGAGCTCTTCTTAAGGAGGCAGAGCTACTTACACTCTGGTCTTCCAGCCCGAGTGTCAACTACCTACCTCTGACCTGGTGTTATTTTAGGGCCTGCAGCCTGCCCACAGTCCCACTGCTGGGATTATGGCACCCACTATCAAGGCAGAAAATCTGTTCTCAACAGGTGTTTTGAGAAGGATGAAATCAGTGAATCAAATGTTTTTAATATTCTGAAAAGTGATCTGGCAATGTGAAATATAACATTCAGTTATAGAGCTGTGCCTCTGTACATACCATGACCAACTTCTCTTCTGCTGCGTTAGCCAAGTCAGCGGCTCAGTTCTGCCCTTGCATTGTTTGCCTTTAAATAACATGACCCTCTAGGTCACCTGAATCTATACACTGAGTTATAATTGTCGCTTTTCCCACTTTTCTCTTCTGAGCTCCTGTGTGCTATATTACCTTACTACTTGCTCCTGCATGAAAAGTCTCCACAATGTGAGCATTCTCCATTACACACACACACACACACTCACACATACACACATTCACACACACACTCTCTCTCACACACACACACATATGCGTTCACACACTCACACATACACACACACTCACACACACATACACACACATTCACACACACACATACACACACACTCACACATACACACATTCACACACAGACATACACATTCACACACACACACTCACACACATACATACATACTCACACTCACAGTCACACATTCACACATACACACATACACACACACTCACACATACACACATTCACACACAGACATACGCATTCATACATTCACACATACACACACTCACACATTCACACACTCACACACTCACACATACACACATTCACACACACACACACTCACACATACACACATTCACACACACAGACATACGCATTCATACATTCACACATAAACACACTCACACATACACACACACACTCACACACTCACACATACACACATTCACACACACACACACACACACTCACACACTTAGGGCTAAATCTCAGTAACTCTTCCCAGTAAGTGCAGCGCCAATCTTTAATTTATGATCACTTCTGTGCCAGTTTCTTTCATATCACCAATGTGCACATTTAATTCTTTGTCCTATCTTGCCATTTTCCTTTCCTGCCTCTTTGTGATGTCCTGAGAAAAGGCAAGAGGGAACTGATGTCTAATTCTGATCTACCCGTAATTCTGTTTGTAGATAGGCTTCCTCCTCTGTTACATAGGACAATACACCCACCTCACCTCTTGCCGGATTGCTCTAAAGTATACTCTGAGGAGAAGATATGTGTTTATTAAATATCCTAATGCTAAACGCTAATAAAGAATTGTGTAAATAATGAAATGAGCCTGATAGTCTAGGTGAACTAAAACGTAGACTATTTCTGAAAGGGAGTATAATGTGGTCAGAGGGTTAAATTATTAAAGATATACAGTTATTCATATCAAACAGACATGGAGAGAGTTTCTTTGATGAATTAACCAGCAACAGGGACTGATTGATTAATTTATATCACCTGTGAACATCCAAGGACAGTTCTTGATTTCAAAATTAAGCTCTAGTCCTTTGTACTGTATGAAACTTAACGATTATGTAAAGCTACCAGCTGGCTTGAATAAATTGAGTAAAATAAGAGGTGTTTCTCTTGACATGAGAAGCTGTAATCCCAGTTTTGGATGAAAATGAGTAGAATATGTTTCCTAGATATCCCCAGCACCCACATTATAGATATAAGAAAATAAAATGATATCATGGTTGAGTTGGGGATGTGAGTCCAAGAAATACATATCTACAGTTGTTTATCTCTTGGAGGTACATCATTGTTTGTCAGAGCAGGGCTACCGTGTGTCATAATAAAGTCAAGGATATAGACAGTTCATCTTATTTGACATTAAGCAATATATTATGTTGCACACATTCAAAAATAGTTCCACTAGCTTTGATTTTTATATTTCAGGAGTATATATGGAATTGTCAATGACATTTTTTTACTCTGCTGAAGCATACTGCTGCTCCATAACCTATTCTACATGTTTACCTGACATTTTCATATCCGTTAATCATTTTAATTGTTAGTAATTACATTCTCGCCAAAGGTGTTTCTATACACCCTGGCCAGAATTTATTAACTTTTATGTTTTTGATAATAGCCATTCTAACTAGGGTGAAATCATATTTTACTGTATTTTTTATTTGCATTTCACTGATGATTAGTGATGCCAAGCAAGTTTTATACACCTGCTAGCTATTTGTAGGTCATCTTTGAAAAATGTCCATTGAGATCATGAGACCACTTTTAAACTGGATTATTTGGTTTTTGTATTTTTGCTGTTGAGGTGAAGTCTTCATATACTATGAATATCGGACCCTTGTGGGATGGATAGTTTGCAAATATTTTCTCTTATTCTGTGTCTCTTCACTCTGCTGATTGTTCCCTTTGCCATTTAGAGTTTTTTTAGTTTGATATAATCTCATGTGTCTATCTTTTTTCTTTCATTTCTTGTGCCTTTGAAGTCCTACTCAAAAATCTTGCCCCATGCCGAGGTCCTGAAGTGCTTCCCTTATGGTTTTCTTCTATCAGTTTCATCATTTTGGGTCTTACATTTAAGACTTTGATCCATTTTAATTTTGAGATATGATGAGAGTTGGGGGTTAGTTTCATTCTTCTGCAAATGGATGTTCAGTTTTTCCAGCCCTATTTATTGAAGAGATACCCTTTCTCCAATTCATGTTTCTGACAACTTTGTCAAAAATTGACTGTAAATATGTGGATTTATTTCTGGGTTCTCTATTTTGTATCACAGGGCTGTGTGTCTGTTTTTATGCCAGTACCATGCTGTTTTGCTTAAAGCTTTAGAGTATGATTTTAAAGTCAGGCATTATGACACCTTAATCTTTACTCTTTTTTGTTTAAAGTTCCTTTACCTATTCAGGGTCAAATTTTATGGTTGTTTTTTTCTATTTCTCTAAAGAATGCCATTGGAAATTTGATAGACATTACAATGACTCTGTAGACTGTTTTCACCTCTCTCTGTCTTAAGCCCTACTTGAAGAATTGGGATTTCCATATATTCTATTTAGAGCTATTTTTTAAAGAATGCGTATGCATCAATATTTTCTCATTTAGGATATTAGCAGTCACGTAGCCAACACTGATTATCTTCATTAATGAATGTGAACAGTAGGTAAAATAATAACTTTATTTACAGACATTTTCGTGATATTGGACTACACAGTGCCCTCCTACCACAATATTTATACCCTTGAATCACTACGGTAATGCACATAGATGCACACTTTTGCATATTTTCAACACTTATTAACTATGCATTGATACTTTTCTGCCTAAATGCTGCATTCACATAAGCTAAAAAGCACAACGTTTTCCTCAAGTAACTTGTAGGTGAGTCCATCAACCCCAACTGCAATGCAGTGTGGTGAGGACTGTAACAGGAGTGAACCCTGTGCACACACCCGACATCCGGGCCAGCTGAGGCAGGGGGTGGATTGCAGCAGGAAGACCCCCCGACCCCGACACCAAAGGAAGAAATAAATAAATAAAATTTAAAACACACACACACACACACACACACAAAATAAGCATGAATCCAGATCCCTAAAGCAACGTAATGCAATAGGGTATCATAAACATATTCTAAATTAAATAATACACAATAGGTTGTTTTAGGAAAAAAGTGTCAATAGATTTGGCAAAAATAGATTTATCACAGGATACTTACTCGTGGCATATGACACTGAAAATATCATGAAGTTTTATACAGAACACACACATACAACACACACCTATTAATACAGTTAGTACATATCTCAACATGCTGATTGAGGATACTAGAAACTATAAGACAATATTCTTAGCTTTAAAATAATCACGTTTTAAAAGAACATATTTTCCATTTCTAAACAAGGTCATCAGGCTCTTCCTACCTACAATGTTAAACTTATGCACACCAAATGAAATGGAAAGAAATGGAAACATTATTGAGAGTAAGTCACTTTTCTAGCTCTCCACAGGAGGGTAGTATTTCAAAAAGCAAAATCTTTTGCAGATTCAGAGGAGAACTTGGGGTTGGAGGGAGCAGAGGTTAGAAGGTGAATGATTCAATTGGTTGCCACACAGAGGCCTTGCCTTTTTACTGAGTTCAAAATGGGTGGCAAATGTTATTCTAGTCCAGAAAACCTCCTTCAGAGGCGTTTTGTACAGGAGCAGCTGAAGTTAGTGACCATGGCCACCACGTCACAGGAGGAAATGATGTTCCTCAAATTCTTGGTACTGGTCCTTTGGATTCAATTGGCATGTGAGTTTAAAGAAAAATATCAGGGGAGAGGAGGTTATTATTGCAAAGTATGAAAGGACAAATTGAAGAAAGTAATGAAGGGAAAAGAGAGGAAGGAGGGAGGACAAATCACTTCGAGTTGGGAAAGAATCTGCAATTCCCTTTGCTAGCGTTCCCTTCTGCTTTGTTTCTAAACAGGGGTGAGCACCCAGGGGCTGGAGCAGAGTCCTCCTTTTCAAAGCATACAGGAGGGAGAAGATTTCACTGTGTACTGCAATTCCTCAAGCGTTTTCACCAGGTTTCAGTGGTACCGACAAGAGCCTGGGAAAGGTCTTGTGCTCTTAATGACATTAGTAAAGAGTGGAGAAGTGAACAAGCAGAAGAGACTGACCGCTCGCTTTGGTGAGGCAAGAAAGGACAGTTCTCTGCACATCGCCACAACCCAGCTTGGGGATGCGGGTGTCTACCTCTGTGCAGGGGCACAGTGCTCTTGGGGCACCTGCTAACTGCACCCAAACCCAGTCACACAGCTGTCACACGCCTCCAGTTCCTCCTCACACACCTCTTTGCATGAACGATGATAACAACCTCAGCTTCTCATGGAACTGTATCCTTTGCCTTTACAGAAAAATAGTTTTACATACAGTGGAAGAAAAAAAAAATCCCTCTGCTATAAGACAGATCTCTGGACAAATGACCTGCTGTTAGAAATTGTAGCAATCCGGGCTTCAGCTCCCCAGGGTAAGCAGTAGAGAAGGGAGTCGATGTGGAGGACAAATGGAAGATAGCAAGCAAGACTGCATCCCAGTTCTGATCAGGCATTCCATTTCCCTAAGAATGGTTCATACAAGGGAATAAAAATGGGTGGCTTTACAGTTTTATTCTACTGCTCTAGAGACTAATGAAATGGCTATGTTCTCACTCTCTCCTAAGCTGAAGTAAATGGCAAAAATGTTGATTATTAGAAAAAAGTTTCTACTTATTTTAGCAGAGATGCCCACAGTATATGTCAGTAATGTGCAACTGCGATGCCAAACCAATATCCCCAGTTAATGAGGGGTTCTGAATCTGCCTAATCATTAACTGCAACGGCCTGCACTCATGAGAACTTACTACGGACAGAACTCTGGCCATTACAGTAACTCCACGTCTCCAAGGCTGAAGAAGATGGAAGTCGACAGTTTCCTACAGGGACCCGCATCTACCATTGAGGAATTCATGTTTGTTCTCTAAGGCAAGATGATATAGTGCAAGGAACGTGAGTTTTAGAGTCAGAATAACACAGATTCAAATCCTGTTTCTAATTCCAACTTGTGTTTCCTTTGGCAATTATTTATCTTCACTTGAATTTCCTTTAAAATTAACATGAGTAGGAATACGTGTCTTGCTGAGTTGTGATGAATTAAATGAGATAAAATATATAAAATTATCAGGAGTCTCAGATATTGTGTGTGTGTGTGTGTGTGTGTGTGTGTGTGTGTGTGTATGTATATACACTCAATAAGTGGTCTTATAAATAATAATATTATCAATGCCCTTAAACTAATGCTATCCTTACTATGAGATTCTCACTGCCACCTCATAGAGGAATGAGTTAATCTAATCATCTGAGTTCCCGCCATAGTAGTCAGAAAGAGAGCCACTGCAAGTTGCCCACATAATCAGCATTCTCTTCTGCTTCTTGATTAAAAGAATTTTCTATTTTTACTTGGATGACTATATGCCCAGCTTTAAAAAAAAAAAAAAAGACTACATTTCACACCCACTTGCAGCTAGGAATTGCCACATAGACCAGTTCTGACCAGTGAGACATGACTAGAAATCTAGGAGTTTCTTGTCATGCTTTTGCTCTCCTGGAACAGCCATAACCTATTCCTGCCCTCCTTTCTTCCTGTTTTCTTCATGCCAAGCCAAATCCCATTCCAGATTTATTTTTATGTGAAAAATTGCAATAATCCACCATTTAGCTGAGTTCTTTTTTTTAACTATAGCTACACTCAGTTCTAGCTGTTAGAGGATTGACATAAAGACTTCGTAATTTTCCATTTTCATGAGTAAGCACAAGACAAGACAGCAATAAATTGCTGTGCTTACACAAAGGGATCTTCATTTACACTCATGTGTATTTCTTTACTTTTTTCCTTCAAGTTTGTATTTAAGGAATAGTTTGATAACATATCTGTATAAATATTTATATAATTTATATAACATAAATAATTTATATATTAAATTATATCTTATAAATTAATAAACAGTTAAAATAATATAAATTATCACATAATTTATATAATCATATTTGATATTATTAATACATTGTTTATCATTCCAACATAAAATATAATAGAAATACCTTAAAGCTGAACACATAAATTTTCCTCAGTTTAGGAACCACAATATTTTCATAACTTAATGTAAATGCTTATTAAAATAAGAATGATATATATGAAAATACATAGTAAACTATTTAAACATTAGCATCCATAAACAAAATGCATACGTACATATTATATTTTTTCCATCTTATAAAGAAACCAATTCAGATCAATTAACTGATCACTGATTGTGATCTCAAGCTAGCAAGTGTAATCCTAGAATAAAAATTAGGACTGACTGTGTAACCCACGCATGATAAGAATTGGTGTTCAAAGTGAGGTCCAAGTATTAGGTTGTTGGAAAAGTCATGCATGTTTTGACTTTCCTGACAATCCAATATTTCTTAAAAGCTAGCACATTAATAATAAGCCAGATTTTTTTTTCAGATAAACTATATTCTATTTTAAGACATATAATAGTTTGGAAATAAGTTAGCCAGTACGGTCTGTTTGAATGGGAAGAAAAGAGGAAATGGAGTAGCTTTAAGTGATAGATACTGGCTTAAATTGTTATCTAAGACCGCTAAACTTGAATAAATGAAATAAAAGAGTGAAAAGTCATAATCAACTTAAAGAAGCCGACTAAGCATGAAGGATTTTCTTTTCCTTTTCTTCTTTTTTTTTTTTTTTTTTGAGAGGTTTTTGCTATAGGGTGTGTGTGCTTGCCAGAAAGACCGAGAAAGACAGAGAGATAGAAAGCGAGAAATCACCCCCCTGGGGATGGCCATGCCACAATCCCTTCTCCTCCATTCTCCTCTCAGGATCTTGGGCACGCACACAAACGCGCCTGGCGTGAGTTTAAGCCACCAGGTCTGGGACTCGAACCGCGGTCAACTACATGGGAGTTCAGCGATATAGCCATTATGCCAACTGCTGGTCCCATACATGAGGGATTTTCTTGAGTAAGAAGTGACAATACGTGATAAAAATAAAAATAAATTTTCCAACTTTACAATTGGATATGTGTAGAAGAATTTCCAAAAAAATAAAATGCACTTCTGATTCCTTGACATATTCTGATCAACTCCTCTTTAATTCTCTATGGTGTGAGAATGAGGACTAGATTTGCAGCTTACCACAGAATCCCAATAAATTGTCTGAAATATGAGGACTTCTGTGCTTTTGATCACATGTATTTACTTAAGAATCAACGTTCCTGTAATTTTTTATTAAGAAAAATAGACCCTTCACTTTCTTTCTTTTCTTTTCTATTTTTATTTATTTATTTATTTATTTATTTATGCATTTATTTATTTATTTTGAGAGAAAGAGAGATTTTACTATAGGACACATGTGCTTGCCAGAGAGACAAGAAATCCCACCCCTGGGGGGGGTTGAGGAATGACCATGCCACAGTCCCTTCTCCTCCAGTCTACTCTTGCGTTTTGGGCATGTACACACATGCGCCCAGTGTGAGTTTTAAGTCACCGGATCTGGGACTCGAACTGTGATTGATTACATGGGAGTCCAGCAACATAATCATTATGCCATCTGCTGGTCTTAACCCTTCACTTTTTATTTAAAGTTGCTTCCTTTTCTGGCAGGGGTGGTGATGGCAGGGAGGCAGGGGTTTTTGCCATTTAGGTTTCTGTCATAGGGTGCATGTACTTGCCAGAGACAGAGGGAGGGAGAGTGAGAAATCACCCCTCAGGAGGGATGGCAACACTGCAATCCTTTCTCCTCCTGGGATCATATGCTCATCTGCACATAGCCTAGGGTGGTTTTCAAATTGCTGGGTCAGGGACTTGGATTTCCATCAGCCATTTGGAAATCCAGCACTTTAACCACCATGCCACCTGCTGACCCTGAGAGATTTCCTTTGTAAATTTTCTTATGATCTCTGCCTCTGCTGCCCTTTCTGGGTTCAGCTTTATGGCTGTGAAGACCCCCAGCCAGGGCTCCCCTTTCCAGACCCCAGTGATAGTCAGATAGGCAAAGTCTCTCTCTCCCTCTTATTCTTTTTTGTCCCTTCTAACATATTTTTCTCTTTTAAAAAATAGCTTTCTGTCTCCTTGTGCCTTTCTTTGCTAATTTGTCTCTTCTTCCCTCACCTAGGACAGAATCCTTGCAGGCATCTCCATCTCCACCTCTGCTGCCCTTTTTGCACTCCATAGTTTTTCATTTTTAACTCAATTTTATTTTTTGTGACGTGTTTTCTGCCTTTTCTCTCCTCTTTTTGATCTAGTTCTTTCCTTCTTTTTCCTTTGCTTTTTTTTTATTTCTGTTTCCTTTCTTTTTCTTTTACCTTATTTCTTATTTTACTGCTCAGCCCTTACCCACTGCCTGGAAATGTCTAGGTGCATAGTAACTAAACATCTGAATATTGTGAAATATAGAGAAGTCTTTCCTCCTCACTGTACTGGTTGTAAAAATCGTGAAACTCCCCTTCATAAATCTGATTTAAAAACTCCTCCTGTGATTACCACACTGGAGAACACAGCAGAAGAGAGAAAATAACACTGAATTATTTCACAGCAAAGGGAAACACACAAGCTACAGAATCCTTCTCCAACAAATTAGCCAAAAGTTAATACATTACCAAATGACTGAAAGTCAGAGACGAGCCTCAAGGATGAGGGAATCAAGTAGTATATCTTCAGCAAGGGAACACTGTAATTTGTTTCCAAGTAGAGAAAAATTAGAGGATATTACTGAAATGCCTGAAAAAGAATTTAGAATATTTATGGCAACAAAACTCTGTGAGATAAAACAGAAAAAAGACACTGAGCTCCAAGAGATGAGGAAGTCCTTCCACGATATTGAAAGAAGAATTGGACACGATAAAAAAGAATCAAACGGAATTGTTAGATATGAAGGCTGTAATACAAGGAATCAAAACCTCCCTCGAAAGCATTCAAAGCAGGTTAGACCATGCAGAAGATCAAATCTCAGAAGTGGAAGACAAAACATCTGACCTAGAAAAAAATTATCAAAAATACTGAGAAAATAACAAAGAAAAGTGAGGATAATACACAAGAAGTACTAGATACATGAAAAACCCAAACATCCAAATAATTGGTATCCCAGAAGGTGAAGAAGCTAATAAGGGCATTGAAAATCTATTCCATGAAATCCTGGAAAAAAACTTTCCAAGTCTAGAGATGCACTTGAACATTTAGACCCAAGAAATACAA